CAGCCTGCAGAAATCCTCTTTTTCCTCTAATCTCATTCTTGTACCTTAGTCAGCTGTTTTGGCTGAGGTTTTCTGGAGAACGTTCCTGCTGAGATAGAAGTCTGCCTTGAAAAGTTACAGCCCAAAAGGTTAACCTTTGTAACTTCAGATACCATCGTCAACATGATCTTACAGTGGGAAGTGCCAGGCAGTTTACTAATAGGCAATGGAATAATGGAGACAAACAGCAGCAAACTATCCTGTTGCTTTTTGGATGTTCTGTTTTCATCTATGTTACAGTATGTCTGGATTTTTGCTTCATCTCTCACCTTGCAAGTGTGTGTATTCCACTTTAAATATGCTGAATAGATCTATTTTAGTCTAGAAGCTTTCTCACATGCACCGAAATGCATGCGGAATCAGAGCTGTAGCATGAAAGTGGGGAGACGATTTTATTTATCTCTGTTATATGCTATGTAAAAGTAAGACCTGTGCTGGTGTGGCAGTATTGTGTGGTGAAAGCTGTGACAGGAGGAACATATGAACATGCCTTAAATCTGCTTTTGTATATTCCCTGCTGAGGCTGGAGAGGGGACTGGTGTGCTGCCAAAAGGGCAGGTGCTGCAGGTGGAGGGTGTACCATGGCTGGGAACATGTCAGGGGCTTTGCTGAGCTGGGATGGGAGCATCACCCGCCCTGGCAAGCAGGAGCAGCATGGGCCTGGGATGGTGGGGGAGCAGAGGCAGGGACAAGAGCTCACTAGGGGCAGATTTTAACAGTCACTTTGGGAACAACTTGTGATTTTAAGAGCATGTTCTGCTGGACTGGACATCTTGGAAGAACTCTCTTCTCACACTCTTCTGGTTATTGGCCTGTGTTTTCAAGTGAATTTAGCACTGCGTATCTGGTCCTCAATAGTGAAAGCCCCCTTTTCACAGAAGGATGGTGGTGCAAGCTGCCCCTTCTGGAGAAGCACATGATAAAATGCCTCATCCCGCCCTGGGAAAGATCGTGATGACTATGCCTTTAGCCTTTGACCTCCCTGTTGAAATTGAGAATTGAGACTATGATTTAGACCCACACTGAGAGCATCACTTCACATCATGTAAGTCAGCAGACTACCTCCAAAATGCAAGGAATGGTGTTCAGTGACTAGGCTGGAAAGGTAAACCATGGGAAAAAATATAGCTCATTACTCTCCCTGCAGTGACGTGGTGTTCCAGGAAGAGATATCGAGTAATGCCCTTAACAGGGTACAAGAACTTTGAAGTAGGTCATATTTATAGCATAAGTGCTTGATAATGATTCTTAATAACAATTCCTTGATAATCAAAACTATCCAAAGGCCCTAGTCCACATTTGGATGATCACATAATCAAATTTATGGTTATATAGAAAATAATGTGTGAAAAAGTAAGATGTCTTTGTTTTTATAATTAGAATAAAAATAGATTTCAGAATTCTGACCTTTTGCCATTGTAATATTTATGTTAAAACAGGTATTTTTTTTTAATCCTTAACCAAGAAAATAAAACAATGTAGATTGTCGCTAGTAGCCTAATGGTAATGACCCAAATGACCCATTTTATGATGCATCATACAGACACACATAAGAAGTTTTTGACAAAGGGCAAAATCTCAGGACTTTAAGCTGATCTGGGGCTGAAACAGTCCCCCCTGCATATGTACCCCATTTTAGTGATGGACTTTTGCTTTAAACTCTCTTTGCTAGATGGCTAAAACTTCTGTTTCCACAGGGTTATGTACAGAGCTTGAGTACGCAGCATGGAGAAGTCAGGGCTGCGGAACCACTGAAACCTGAATGCCTTCTGAATGCCTTTTCCAGGCTACATGTTAACTTACATTTTGATGGTATCAGATAATAATGTGAAAAAAGTCGAATGGCCACAGGCCTTATGAAATCAAGTCATGGGCCGTGCATTTTCCCCAGCTGTGGTGCAAAGGAAATGACTGATAAAAGTATTTTTTTCTAGTTGACCTCCGGCTTACCTTTGTCTGCCAAAGAATTTCCGGCTAATTCCCTTCTATAGCTTTCTTGCAGCTACAGCCTTTTCCTAGAATCCCCTGTGTCAGAAAATATGGACCCCATCTGAGCCTGCTTATTGATGCACCTTAGATAAAGAACAAATGAAAGGTTTCTTCTAGATATGCAAATAGTGCTCCTTAAAGTAAATTGCTCTATTCCTATGTAGGGATAGAACAGCACTTGGCATTTGGATGGCTCATTATTAGAGAAACTACTTTGTCCCTGTACCACTGCATAGACATACTTGGGGACAGATTTGTGAGGGGCTATGGAGTGCTCACTCTTGCGGTAGCAAGTGCTTGGACACTGAGCAGCCTAATGCCATTCAGAAACCTGTGTCTGCTGCTTAGGCTCAGTGTGAGGAGTCTGACCCCTGAGAAATAGATTCAGAAAGCTGGAAAGTGGAATGAGATAGTTTATCTATTAAGGTGTAGATAAACTATGAGGAGGGACAGGACTTAAACAGCATCCTTCAATGAGACTAGGAACCCAATACTTGGCTGAAGGGCTTAAGTGGATTAGGAGTCATGTTCATGTTTGTCTCATTGTTTTACAATTAAGAAACATGGTAGTACTGCCCCACTCTTGCTGTCCTTGGTTAGAACTTGAAAGACTAAGGTTCAAAGCAGGACAAGAACACCCATGCCTTTTTATATACAGCATCACCGCTGTCATGTGTCAGCCTATTGCTTTGACCAACTAGGCAAGGCCTAAAATCAGTTCCCTCTTTGACCCGAGATGAAGGGAAGACTGCTCTCACTTTTAGGCTGATCCTCTGTTTTGCTGGGGACCTATCTCCTGTCCCAAGAAGCTGTGCCACTGTGCAGAAGACCACAAAGTTCACTGAGCCAGAAAACAAGAGGAGCAAGTCTGGGTACTCTCTCAATAAGCCACTCAGCTGAGCTGGGACCAGCTGGGTTCTGGTAGTGCTTCCCACAAAGGAAGAACATTTCTGGGCTTCTGTGTTTTGCTTTGTTTTCATGTTATACTATGTTTCTATGTTTACTGCCTGAAGTTAGCCACTCTCCTGGCAGATAGGAGATGTATTTTCACTCTTCCAAGATAATGAAGGAACTAACTTTCCAACATTATGCAGGTTATGCACAAGGAGTTCAAGGCTGAAATGCCTGAGTCATGCTCAGTGTTTGAAAGAAGGTGGAAGTTGCTTAGCTTCAGGACAGGATCCTGGGAGGTGTGGATCGCACAGTCCCTTCCTGTAGCTCCAAAAGTCTGAAGGGGAGTGGGATTTCAGGTGCTCCCCTCTTTTCTGAGCTCTCTACTGGGTAGGTTACCCAAGCCTTTGTGTCTGTTGACTTGCACGCTGGCAGTATGCAATCTAGTTATAAGCGGCAGCTAAGCATGGACTTTTTTGGTGAATTTCATTGGTTTTTGAATGCTTGATTTAGTTAATGAAATAGGAAAAATACTGGAATTTTTCCTTATGAATATAGCCCTTAAAAATTATTTAATTACAGGCTAATGGGAGCTGCAAATGCCTTGTGTCCCTCTGCCAGAGTGAAATTTCCCTAAAATTAAGGGACACACACAAGTCTGTTTCCTTAGTTTATTAGTACAAACAATGCATACACAAGACTGTATATTGTTTGAAGACTGCAATAGATTTCTAATTTAACAACTCTGTAACAAAATTTAACTAAATTTGACATTTATGAAAATATAAATCTCTGATTGGGTAGGCTTTCCCAACAATACAAAGTTTACATAAAAACATTCAATATGATCTATTAGTTGCAAACAAGTTAGGAAAAATCATTCAAGTCACTTAATATACTATATTGGCTTGTACATTGAACATTCACACACTACATTAAGTTCTAGCTTAGCATTCATTTCTTGGAAATTTGTGGCATGGAGTTCTGATTTTAAAAATAAAATTGTTTAAATAATTTGAAAAAATTGGTGTGCCACAGGTGTGCCAACTTTAAGACATGTAAGGAGGGAAAAAATCTTCTTACCCTTTCAGATGTCCAGTATTTTTTTTACTTGGGCAAAATGTAATTTTTCTTCAAGCATTTGTCATTATTTCACACTTTCTGCCTTGAAACTGGTAAAACTGTACAAAAGGCTCAGAACAGTTCTAAAGCAGAAAGTGAAGCTTGTAAATACGTGCAAGTAAGAAAAAAATGTTACAAATTGGACCAATAAAGAACCTTTGGACAGCCTTTACATTTAGTGGAGTATTTCACCACATATACAAGCAGTCCCAGAGTGTTGGTCATCTGATCTGTATTTATCATGGGAAAGAACAGAAATGAGAGTAAGGCAAATGTTATCAAGATTAATACATGGCATGTCTGAAAACTTTCTATTAAGATTACTTTGGGGACACAGGAGATACTTTAGACTGTCTTACAACAAAATGGATAGCAACCTTTTAACATAAAGAAATTAATGTGTTTAACTGTTCATCTGTAACGCCCTTTCTCTTTGAAAAAAGTTTTCATTACGACCTGTACTAATACACACTGTGAAAACGCAAGAATTCCCCAAACCAAAAATAGAACCCCAAACCCTATATGCCTTTTATGACCTAGGTTTTTATCATTTTTCACAATACAGAAACCTGAAATCCCTGCATGCAATTAAAAAAAAAAAAATCTTTCAGTCCATTCCTTGAGGTGAACAAATACTTATCAGCTCACATGTTGACATGTTTGCAGCTGACTGGCACCTATTCCTTTCAACCCAATTAAAAAAAAAAAGTAGGTATTTTTTAAATGATGATGGAATGTATCAAGTGTTCCAGGTTGGCAGGTGACATCTTGTCATTGCACCATCAAGCAGAAAAACACATTTTTGCAAGTGGGTATAAAGTTGGCTGTTAGCTATAGACCCATCTAGGTGACCTGGTATATAAAATAGTGGTCTGACTCTTCTCACCGATCATGTGGAGCTTTAGTTCTAGTTAAAACAGTTTGTCAGTCCCAGATAAGATCACCTAACTTCCGTAATAGCATAACAATTTTGATAGTATTGCTAGAAATTTTTAATCAAGGCCCTGGTGAAATCCTGGACTGAACCTTGTATTCCGAAATTTAAAAAACCCTGCAGCCCATTTGCTTTATGTTTGCTTTTTTTGTTTAAATAAATGTAAGAATATTTGTCGAGGAATAAACAGCTGGTCTGCCCTCTGCTGTTTCTGTCTGTCTTCCAAGAAATGCACTGATTTTTACGTGGATTCAGAAGACAAATCTATGCATGTATACTATTATTCAGATAAGCTAGTCCAGACGGTTACTCAGTTGTCAGCAGCAAAACTGTGTCCTCTGCAATCTATGGCTGAGCACACTTTCTCATAGCAATAGTTGTGTTTTTTGGTTGGTGTTGCTTCACTCACCTCCGGCTCTGTAACTGTGATGGGGCTATCCCTTGCAAATACTTCCGTTGATTCCCTCCAAATGCAGTCTGCAGTCACTTTGAAGCTATAATTGTGACATTTTGGCCTAATCACTTGTGTTGTGTTGTTGAAAATCTGACGGCTGTTTGAAGTAGCAATTTTGATTTTCAGTGCAGCGTCGACTCGATCTACTACAGTGTAAGTACCTATACTTCCATCATCAAATCCAATAATAATATTTAAATGTCTCTGTGAGAGTGCAAGAAAAGTGGGAGTTTTATAAAGAGAACAGGCACCGATGTTTTTGCCATCTGCTAGCCTCATTACTATTAAACTAGAGACTGCACCATTGTCATCATCTTCTTCACTGCGGAAACAGATGTACACAAGATAGCGGCCATCCCGAGACAGCCTCTGCCGCCAGATGACACCTGGAGCGTGAACCACACGAAGTTTTCCACTGTATAAATCAAGCACATTGATGTTCTCATCACCACGGGTTATAATTCCTAGCTTCCCATTTGGGGATATTTCAAAGTCTTCCAAATTTTTTAAGAAATTGGTAGGCAATTGTACGCGTCTGCAGATGACTTCCTCTGTTAGGCTCCAGATGTTCACAGTTTCAGTAGATGTTATAAATACTATAATATCTGGGCAGTCTGGTACCAGCTTAATATCCACAATGCTTGCACCATCATCACAGCAGAACTTCTTGGTTATACTGCCTGTCCAGAGACTCACTGCCAACACTTTATTCTTTGCCATTCCGACTACGAATGTATTTGCGGTTGTTATAAATGCATTCTGTAAGGCAACTAAAATATTGCAAACCCTATGTCCTGTAGCCAGTCGCCAAACTCTGGATGCATTTTGCTCACACAGAGAGACTACAAATTGATCGTTATGAGTAATCATTAGCTCTGAGATTTTTTGTCCATTAATGCGAAAGATATTTTCGCCACTAACAGTGTGCCATACGTACTGGCTGCATTTATCATCCGATGTAACCATTATCTCTCCAGAAGAGGTCAGCACACAGTTTTCAACGATACCTTCATGCTTGAACACGGCTTCAATAAATCCAGTGCTGAAGTTCCACTTATGGACAGAATCTGATCCATCCAATGTGTATATTAATTCACCTCTGGCTGGCAACACCAGTCTTTGGATGGGCTTGCCAGATTTGTCAATGTTGGACATAGCAGTTATGATGTCTATATCCCAAATAGAAAGGACACCACTGGTGGATAAGGATAGCAGCATGTTATGATGATTTGATTTAATTAGCCTGACTATGGTTCCTGAGATTTCCTGTAAGCTTGCCATACACTGTCCTGTATCTCTTCTCCAAACAAAAATGGCTGAGGTATTTTCCATTGAAGCAATTATACAGTTGCCATTTTTGGACAACACGGCAGATATAAAGCGCTCATTGTGTTTAGCTCTAAACTTTTCAGCCACCTTCCACACACGAGTGTCAAGAAGTTCAATGCTGACAGCCTTACAAATTAAAATTGCACTTTGGTCTTCAGAAAGCTCTATGTTGACAACTTCACTGTCTTCTCTCCTGCAGTCAAAGTCATCTGTAAGCTGGGGATTCGTGATTTCCTCTGTATTCCAAACAGAGAGGCTACCCTCGTTGTCCACCATCACCATTTCTTGGGCTGTGTCCAGAATGAGAAGGAATTTCACAAATCCACCAGAAAATTCAGAGGTCATGGTGGCCAGCTTCTCTCCGCTGCCCAAGTGAAAAATGGTCGCGGTGTTCAAATACTGTCCGCAGAATGCATAAACGCCATCTGGAGAGCACTGCACACAGGTCACTTCGTACCAGCAGTGGAAGTGATAGAGAGGCCAACCGTAAAGCAGATCTATTACAGTAACGTCTTTGCTGGCCTCCAGCCAAGCAAGCGCATGGTTGACTGATAATGTAAATCCATTTATAAAACTGGAGCCCCCCCCAATTCCACAATGTTTTGACCCCTTAATTTCCACCTCAGACAGAAGACAGGAATTTATGTTATCATATATCAGAAGAGTGTTTTTTGTTGTAGCCACTACAAGGTACTTTTCATCACTAGTAAGCTTCATCCCTAAGATAACAGATGGAGCTGTTGTAATCTGCCTTAGTAACTGGCGTGTCTCTACATCCCAAGTGCTGATGGAGCCATTTTCTAAAGCAGCAATAACTGTGCTGGGATTAAAAGTAGGCAAAATCTCAGTGACGTGCACGCAGCTGGATGACAGTGGCAGGCGCTCAGGGCTGTAAGTCACATCCATAGAGGAATGCAAAGGGACGATAGAGCAGTACTTGGGTCCATCCTTGTCACATTCTAAGAGGAGATGTCTGAGTTTGGGCAATGAACTTACTACTGGGAGAAGCCTCTGCTGCAATTCAGCGGAGAGTGAACCTGGGTATTTTACTACTTTGAACTTTATACTGCGGAGGGTACTGGCCAGAAATTTCAGCTCCTTTTCTTGTGAGTAGGTGTAAGCCAGTTCTATGTCAGAAAGTGCTTTATCAAACTGCCCTATTCTAATCATGGTGTACAGCCAGCTGAAGTTCATAATAACTCCGTACAGAAGATCATCTGTTCTTCCACATCTTGTCAAGTGATGAATAAGCTCTGTCATTTTTCTGTGATTGATAAAAAAGATATCAGGCTCTAATGGATTACACTGAAAGACCCATGGCTGATCAGGTGCCTGCCTGTCAAAAGCAGTCTGATCCATGCAGTGCTTTTCATCCTTGTTCAGGCCTCTACTGTCATGGTCAGGACAACCATTCAGATATTGGTCATTGCTGTAAAAAGGTTTTCTTCGTCCACCTGACCAAACACCAAGGAAATACTCTGCCATGACTGTGTGCATTTCCTGTAAATCTTCTTCATTGTGCAGGTACAATTTCTGGGCAATTAGTTGCAAGTGCCTATTTGCCCAAAGCAGCAGTGTTACATTTTTCACCTGTCGCTCTATCAAGTACCCCTGTAAGCCCTCTTTAAGCCTTGCAATGTATATATATGGAATTCTCAGTGGGTTACTTTCTCTGATGCTCTCACTCAGTTCATACATAACACTATTGTCAAGAGCCAAAATATCTTCCAGTTCCATTTCACTCAGGCCAGATTTGGACATAGTGATATAGCCAAGTGCTCTTGACAATAGTCTTGATCCACACTTGTTTTCCAGTGACCAAAACAACTGCTCTATGCTTTCATGGACAGTGACACAGAGGGAGGACTCATCCACATCTTTGTGAGATCTCCAGTTCCTGACCTCTCTGAAGGTTAAGTTCACAAACATAGGCAGTGTGCACTTGGAGAATGCTTCATTGACGTAGATTTGTTGCCCTGATGTTACTTTTCTTTTAACTCGCAGCAGCTGATGTTTCAGTACTTGGCTACACATCTTTCTGTCCCTTGCAGTCAATTCAATGTAGTTGTCTTCTTCATGAATAAGGCACCTCAGTTTTTGCAGGATCCCATGCTTGTTTGGCAGTGTTGACAAAATTATCCGTACTGAACGAGGAAGGTGAATGGGAAGCCACCAGAGCTTCCTACCATCATCACTATCTGTTAACTGTTCTAGGGCATCGAATATTATCACCAGTGGCCTGTGGAATGAAGACTCATTCAAGAGGTTGATGAACAAGTCCCGAAGGTCATGAATCTTTTTTGGGTAACTTTGTACGAGGCAACGGTAGTTGACTGCTAATTGTTCACAAATGCTTTGAAGTATATTCTTCAGATCTGTACTTGTTTCAGTGGATCCCAAAAATCTTATAACTACCACAGGGTCAGAATCTGGTCCCATCTCTTCTTGCAACCAGGAATAGGACTAGAATATAGAGCATAATGTAGTTAATATCTAAAGGAAGCACAGTAACAGAGTTTATAAAGAGTTATTGCCTAGATATAAACAAACATTTTTAAATGTTACTGGTTAAATGGAAATGCTTTCACAGGCAGAATTCAAGGCCGGTTTGATTTATATGCACTGAATGAAATTCATATCATATGTCATTTTTATTTAGCACAGGTGATATCCCAAAGCACTAAGACCCAGATCCACAAAAAGGCTTACATCTAAGGGGACACGAGTAAAATGTAGTCCATAAATCCCAGGGTACTCTGCAAAGTCTGTGTCTCACTTCTGAAAGTCCGTAGGTAGATTTTCTTATTAATAAACTTCCTTAGATACTAAGCAATGTCATCCTTGGCCAGGCAGACCAGCTTGCCACATAAACTTGTTTAACATTGATTCCCAGCTGAGTATAAATGCATACCCTGATGGTTTTGGAGGACAGGGATCAGAGTACAGATTGCTCTTTACTAGCAGGTTACCTTAATTTCTGGATCACAGAAGTATGCTCTGTCGTGATGTCCCTGTAACCTTTGCTCTTACATACTGCCACAAGGGGTAAAAAGTATCTCTTGCTGGTTTTTTGGTTAGCATTCTCTAAGCAAGTGAGGAATGTGGCTTTAAATCCTCTCAGTCTGCGCAGGCTAACACACTCAGTTCTTTTAGTTGCTAAGTCTTTTCACCTCACTTTAAGTTATTACAGAATATTGTAAAAGAAAAGTGTAACCAGAGTGTCTAGGTTAACTTACGTACTCAGATCTGAAACGAGATCTTGAGTTGCAAATCCCAATTCCATATACACAACTAATGTGAATCTATAGAAAGCCACATTTAGGAAAGACATGGATTTTAAACATTACTGTTCCCTTCTCCATTTCCTTCTGGCTGATACCACTGTTTCCCAGCCCACTGTGCTAAACTCTCTGAGCACCCTGCAGGGAACTCAAAAGTTGTGACTCCCAGCTGGAGATTTAGGCTTAGAGATGCCAGCTTGGTCTTTTTCTGCATCTGGTCTTGCCTTGTACAAAGCATTTCACTCATCTCCCTGTAGTGCTCAGCTCAATGACTTAAACAGCATATGTCAGATAAATGAGTACAGGTATTTTTGCAGGTTATTACAGATAGATTTGTAGCAAGTGTATCTGTAGCAAGTGTATCAGGCTAATTCCGGAATAATTTCTGATGGGAACATAAGATGGCATGACTTGGAAAGACATGTTGTATTTGTGAATAAGACTAAAAACAGCATATGATGTTTAGATGGTTCCAGATTCATAGGACCTCAGTAGAACAAGAAGGAGAGAGATCCTTCCAAAATACATGTTGTTAATTCAGAAATATATTGATTCCTATTAGGTTTTTAAGAGCTCTGATAAAGTATTTTTTGTTTGGACTAAGCACATGATACAGACATGTTACTATTGAAAGGTAAGTCTTTTTCTGAATATGTGTACAATAATATGCAGAATGTACTTTTTATTATTTTTATTTTGTATATTGAGGGCTGCTATCAGATCTACTGACAAAAGGAAGAATGAAAACTATGTTGGCCCTTACACACTAACGCTCCTAACATCACCGCATTATGTAAAGTATTTATTTACCTTCTTCGCCACTTCGGCTAATAAAAGAGTCTTCCCTGTGCATGGTCCTCCATATATGATAAGAGGGTTAATGTGTCCTATTTTGCTAGGTAGAACGTACTTGTGAACTATGTTTAATGCCTCACATCTGTATTCATAAAAAGTGGAGTACGTTTTACACAGCGATGAGTGTTGAAGAACTTCATCGTACAGCAAGTCTGTCTCGGTGTCAAAATTCTGCTGCACTGTTGCTTGGATTATATCAATCATGTCTTCATAGAACTGTTTACCAAGTCCTTCGATATAATGGTTCTCCACTTCTTGGGAGTAGCCCAGTTTCATGTCACAGTGAGTGACAGACGTGTACACTCTCAGATTGGACGATGCAACAATGGTAGGAATGAATTCATCCCTGAGCTTGATCAGTTTCTCATGGGCTTCGGGATCTCGTAGAAACTTCCCCGCTGTACGTACCACATCCATGTATTTTCCCATCTCTGGAATTTTAACAAAACGCTCAATGTTGGCAATTTTCCGAATGTAGCAAACACACTTCTTTAGGAAAGCTGGTGTTTGTTTACCCAAGGCAAAATCAAGTTCATCTTCAATAGCTGAGGATGAAAAGAGAACACAGAGTCTCTGTTATCTTTTCTTTATAAACAGTTCAAGAACATCCCCCACCCCCAACATGCAGGCTCTTAAATGATTGCATCTGTTTTCTGTAAAAAACAAAAAGCACAGAAAAATCGCTGTTTGCTTTCCTATGGGTTTTGGTCTCAAGCAAGCACAATGAACATTTTTTTTTCTCTTCAATTATATGAGAAATGCTGACAGAAATATATTTTCATGTCTGTGGACAGGTTGATAGAAAAGATAATAAATGAATATATAGAAATAGTTAGTCTGAACTTTACCAGAGGAAAGATATCTCTTTGCTTGGCTGTGTTTCATTTTTCCTTTCTCATACAGCAATTTCACAGCAGTCTTAAAAATCTTCTTGATCTCTTCTGATATATCTTGCCATTTGTTCTCATTCATAGAGTTTGAAGAGGATTCCATCTTTTAAAAATATCCATAGTTAAACAGTAGCTGTAATACACACATCTACAGCTTCAGAAAGTAAAAGTCTAATATTCAACGTCATAAATGGTAACAAACACATACACAATAAATAAATAAGAATTCAACTTTTTATACTGCAGATAATCATAATGTATTCCAACTTAGAATTATAAAAGTTAGCTACTTTGAGTATTTTCTGGATTCCTACTGAGGAATCTAATGCAGTATATTTCAAGAATAAGACCAGTAACACCTTTATAGGAAGAGGGTTTTGAGAACCAAGCCTGAAATAATGTAATAAAGCAGTAGTAATACTGCTACAATTATCACTCCTTTAATGAGAAGTAATAATAATTTAAACTTGGATCTCAAAACTGAAAATGAGGTTCCTGGTACCTGTAATTAAGCACCTCATATTACCTACCATATTTGAAAAATAAGGGATTATATCTGACATTACTTTCGTTCATTCATTGCTATAGTAACAGTAATCTTACTGTCATCAGAGAGGGACTGTAATACAAGTTCACTAATCCTTTCGGATGGTATCTTGCAGATGCCAACGATGGAGGTTTCTCTAAGGCAGCTGGTAGTCACTGCTGTGTTACTGCAGGTGAAGTGTTTAAGGGGTCTCCAGTTTTCCTGGAGGATGTAATAGGAAAAAGAACAGCCTCCAGGATAAGCTCCCTAGCAACTCTTTCTTGACACGTTCAGAGCTGTGTATCTTTTACTACTTTCTGTAAGTTTATGAGATGTAACTCTATGTTAGCTTTAAGTTATGAACATCTTTTTACTTACTCCTGTGTATCAGTAGCTTGAGGAAAGGTACAAAGTTTTAATAACAAAACAGCCAAGGTTTATTCAAAGGGATACTGTGGGCATTAGCAAAAAAATGCAAAGTTACAAAATGTGCTTTCTCCCTTGTGATCAATACTTCAGAATTAGCCACATTATACTCACTTCAACTCATCAAATTTCTTTCTGTGTCTGTTTTCAATGTTTTTTCATGCAACAGAGAAAACATTCTGCTACATGATAAGTGAATGCATTATAATGGTTTAATTTAATTTTATCGTACAATAGACTACGCACTCAAAATGAAGGGAATACTCTGTTAAGGACTTCATTTTTTGTACACTGAAATCTGTCCTTGGGTATATAGGACATGTAGAAGGGTAGAACTGAGCCCTGGGTAATACACAGTTGTTACTGTCATCCATTAAAGATAAATGCCTGTTTTAAAAATGATAATTAACAGCGTTCAGAAATCTTCTGTTAGAATACAGTTAATAAGTTAAAAGTATGAGATCTGACTCGGGACAGCAGTAAGCACTTGTTTGACTGTTAAAGAGCTTTCTTGTATGGGGATAGAAGGGAAAATGTGTATTTCCTCTGCAAATCCTGTTCATTGAAATCTAGTGAAAGCACAGCACCAGGGCAGAAGAGCCTGAGCTCTCCCTATTCCAACATCAGGGAAGGGAAGAGAAATCTGTACAACTGTCCCACTAGTCCTAACAGGTCACGAATGACTGCAATCCACTTGCTCTAGCTGTTGTCAGAGGGCGCATCAACGCAGGAGTCATGACCTGCTGTGTTCCCTGGTGTTTTCGCAGCTGCTCCCTTCACCATGTATGGGAAAGGAGCATCGCAGCACCAGTTGCTCAGGTGTGGACAGGGCTGTAGAAGCTAATTCAGGGACAGCAGCAAGTGCCTGGCCCTGGGGACTGCCTGCCACTGTAACTGATAGAGAAGAATTTTGTAAGGAGGTGACTATGACTTACCGTATTCTGGTAGATCTTCAGCATTTCAGATTTTGGTCTGAGGTAATACGCTGGTGGCACTGCATTCTCATCCCTGCAGTACCACTCTTCTAAAATCCTTGTCTCTAGCTTGGCCTCTACAGCAGCATCAAGGATCATTTCAAATTCTGCTGACTCAACTTCCCCAGGTATTCGGATGTTCCCATACTTCTCTCCCAACAGGCCCTGTGTATTTGCAGGAAAGCAGGGATTAAATTTTTCTTTTTAGTTATGCAAAAACCCTCCTCAGGATCTGAATTTCATAAAAATCAGTGTGATAATAGTTTAATGACTTTGAAATTTCTAGGAAGGGAAACAGATACAGTGTAAGATGAATTACTGTTGAGGGTACTGTACTGAGCTGCATCCTACTATGATGACTTGGCAAAATTTGAAATAGATGCATTGTCTTTCTTAATAACTGGTAATAAAAATACAAAGGCATTCAAAAGAAGAAATTAATAAATACCCAACATACTTTCCTAGCACAGTATTGACTCATGTATTACTGATTCCCATTAGTCACAGGTTGGCATTAATCTCACATGCAAAAGCGAATGTGGAAATCCTTTTCTCTGGACTCAGGATGAGGATGCATCTCTGGATTCTTTACCTCTTGGCTTTAGTCTTAGTTTCCACAGTAATGGAACAGAAGATTTTATGTTCTGTTTGATGAAAATTCACATGATGTTATGTACAGCTCATATTGATATTATTAAAAATGTGGCTTATACCAGCAATACCAAGGATCAGTGTCACAGAACCACAAGCTGCTTTGCTGTCTCATATTCCCTTGTTGCAAAAATATTCAATGTTTTGCCCCAGTAGCTGTCCACTGAATAAACAGTGGGGCAAGGGAAAACAGTTTTGATCAAATAGAAACAGAAATTTTAGTACTTAAATGCACATATTTGGTATACAGGCAAAGGTTTGTGGGATTCATTTCTTAAACTGTGGCACAGGAGATTTTTCACCTTCAAAAGTGCGGATTAAAATATTTGTTGTGATGCTCTGAATACCTTTTATTGAATTTATTTCCATAGTTTGCTGTCCATAAATATTTTATAAAAAAAAAAAAATTGGGAAAAACTTTACAGAAGATAGAATTGCAGGACATTCCTGCATTCTTTTGACAAAATTTTTCAAATTTGTGATCATCAGCTTAATTCTGCATTCAAATCTTGGTCCACAGAAGTCAGTGAGAACTCTCACTTCCTTTAAAGGAGGATTTTTTAATTTCTTTTCTCATTTAAATGTATTCAGTAAAGATTTTGAGTTAATGAGGAGTACTTAATGTGGAGAGGAACCAACAGTATCAGCATCTTGATGAATCAGAAAAATCTCTTAGTAAAGTAATGCTAATGCAAATATAGTAGTACCCTAAAAATGTAAATTACCTTGTTTGTAAATAATAAAAATCTAAATATTCATTCTTTTTAAAGCACTCATCATAATGAGAAGCTGTTTTAAACTTTTCCAGCTGTAAATAAACCCTGAAAATCAATAACTGATGATGATGAAGCTGGCTTCACTGATTATAAAAGTGTGAAGCTGCAGACCCCTTTTCTGAATCCAGTTGTGTTGGCAGGAGGTACTCAAGTGGCTCATCATGCTAGATGCAGTAGCCTCCAAGCAGAGATGTCAGAGCAGTGCACATGAACACTTCCTAACCTCTTTCAGGCAAAACCACCTCAGTTAGCTCAGACCACAGTTCACATTCTGTAAACTAACCTGGCTGATTTTTGCCTGGATCAGATTAGGAAAAGCTCACATGAACTACTGTGCTGGCTCTGATGATGAGCAGTTGGCATCCTCCAGCAGAGGAGTAGTGACAAAGAGCTGGTGGACAGGAACAAGTCAATGTCTGTCTGCTGCTTAGAAGAAATGTAGGAATTGTGATAGTTCATATAATCCAGGTTTCAATCTCTGACAAGTCCCAGCTCCCAAGTACTTCAAGAAGCTGTTCCAATAGAGAGGCATTAGGGGAAAGATAGGTTTGCCTGGCTGCCCATTTATATCCCACAGTAGTTTCATTCAGGGTGCACATCAAGGAGTCAGGAGAAAGGAACAAACGTATTCAGTAACTAGAATTAAATAATAATGATTTTAATTAAATGATCCAGTATTTTATTATGTGAATTTATGTTTTCTGTGTGATCATACTAACTAGTAGCTCCCCTCACAGAGCGAGCTACGTTGCTCTCACATAATGAGATAACTGGGGAAAATTTCTAAGTTTTTACTGTTCTGTTCTATTCAGAGTGCTCTATAATTTTGGAATTCTGAAGCTGCAAAGGTTAAACAAAATATAATATTATTTTCCTTCTTTATTCAAGTGAGGTTAATAACTCATATCATGCTGAATTGCAAGCCTTTGCACATTCAGATTGATGTAGAAATCTCATAAATTTCCCTCAGAGGAGCTTTGCTATGCAAAGTTTGCAATTACCTTGTATAGCAATTATTACTTGAAATTCATTAGGCTACAGATTTTTGCTGAATTTAAGTCCAGTGGATTCAATAGACAGTTGCCCAAGCAAAGATCAATAGCTGGGCCTTTCATTAACAATACTAAAATGTCAACATTAAAATGTCTGGTTTTAGTGTACTGCATTTAATCAACTAGATTTGTTTTGGAATTATTCTGTGTACTTTTCTGCTTCTCTGGTACAGTTTGTGCTGTTCTCTCTTCACTGTACTATAGGTAAATAACAAAAGGCAGTAGTTTAAAATGAAAAGACCGATGTTTTTTTCTTGTATCTTATCTGTCACTGCAACAGACATTATGTAAATAATCCTGTATTAGGGATCATCCTCCTGGCTACTAGAGCAAAACACAATAAAAAGGAACTCTGACATGATCAGAATACTAGAATCACTGTGGATGACTGTATCATGAGCTTTTAAATAAAATGGAGGCCTATGCAAATACTATTTGGAAGCCTTCACATTTTTTAAAATCAAATATTAAACAGTAGAGGACATATATTTATCATGGTGTACCTTGGTGCTATAGACGGCATTGCTAATATTTTGCTGGAAGTCTAGCTTTAGTTGAGGGAAGAATAGACATACATAGAAAAGGAATCACGCAGACCAAAGAGTGTCCTCCATTTGGGATGATGGCAGTGAGCATCCATAAAGTGTAATAAACAACAAAATAAACCTTGTATCATTTTGCTTTGAGGTATCTCTCCTCTTCTTGTTTGGTTGTGGTGTATGGAAAAGTTTTAAGGTTAATCTTAAAAGATGACACATGCATAGTGCTAGGAAGAAAAGGAATGAAGACGTGTGGAGGAAAGAGAAGTCTGAGAAAATACACGTTGCACTGCAAGGTGAAAACTACGTCGAGCTTGTTATTGTTAACATTTAGTGTTTAGGAGAGCCTGAAGCTAACAGCTGTACCAAAAAAGGAACACATCAGTTGAACATCATGTAAGGATGTAAATGTGCTAAAACATTTAGTTTTAGAACTTAAAAAGTGGACCATGGCAAAAAGGAAGCTGCAGAGGCCATGCCACATATTTTTTCACTGAGAACTGCTCAGGGAACAGCAGGCAGCACGGTGCTGACCAGTCTTCTGTAACTGTGCCCACTGGACACCAGAAAACCATTGTAGGGATTGTGGTAGAAGTCCTTCATACAAGCTGCATGAGTTGGCCAGACTCAGAGGACACCTCTGAAATGTGGCTGTGTTTAACTCAGGAACGCTGCTTCACGTGGCTGGTGTGAGCAAGGACTCCGTGTTTTAGCCAAAACGTAGGCATTTCTGCAATTAAAGCAAAGTTATGGAGCAGCTGAACAGAGATTCTGAGGACACCTGTGGCACCTACTTGGTGAATATGTGCATTTAGAAAGGCAATTAAATGAGTTAGATTCTTTGATGCCCTAATACTGTAGAACTGACAAGTAAACAAAGAGAAATAGAAATAGGAACAGAACAGGGAATAAAAAGAACAGCACCGGAATGAAGGGGATTGATTACACAAGTAGGACCAGCAGATCATACATACAGTGCTGAGCAGGTCTATCACTGAGAGCAGGGCAGTCCCAGGCACTGCACTGCAGCTGTGTTCCTGCTAATGCCCCAACAGAAGTTAGCTGAGGTTCTGGTATTAGTACCTCATTCTGTGTAGCCATTTGAAAAATATGCTGGTAAAAAATTTTCTGTGGTAGAAAACTCTTCATGGAGTCATTCCTGTGCTTTCTGATAACTCCAGACTAGCCTCAGTTTACAGCCCAGTTTTACTGGCCATTTAACTACATCTTCCCGTGTTTAGACACAGAGGTGAGGCTTGGAAGTATCTCCTTCTAGCTGGTACCAGGGAATAGCCACCTCCCCTCCACTCTTTTGGTATCATTATGGTGAATTTGTATCTGGCTGTATAAGTGTAGTCTATCATGGTACCACAAAAACACTCAAACCTTTAGAGGCCTAAATGAGAAGCTCTGAATTGCCCTTTTCCTCCACGGGCTTCAGTGTCTGAAAGGCATCCATGCCAGAGGCTTGCAGCAGCCTCTGGAAATATCTGCCTCTCTCTCCATATTCCCTATACATTCAAGTAAGTGCAAATTTCTTCATAGAAAAATGAAGAAAAATGAAGCAACAGAATTGAAAGAAAATACAGTTTCTCACAATCTTCACATTGTTTCATACTAAGTCTGCAAGTAAGAATACTGTTATTTCAGACCTTTATGAAAACTACCACAGTACTCTACAGTAATAACCTAAAACTTTAATTTGTGATAACAACATGGCAGCATTTTGATGATTATTATAGGAAATTATTTTTAAAGGGAGCAGTAATGTTTACACTATGTTCAGTACCAAGAGACAGTTTTATATGCAGACTCGTGAATCAAAATCTCCCACCTGATGAGTCATTTTCCTTTAATAGTAAAACAACAAATTAAAGATTCATTAGATTGAAGGTGATTGAACTGTTTAAAGCTACCAGGCTGGCAAACATGTATAAAACCCTCAGCAACCATTTGTATCCAACAAAACCTTATAGAATTAACACAGAGCAACATCAGCAGTAGTCTTGTTAGCTTTGTTGAGCCTAAGGCTGAAGTTTCTATTAAATGAAGTTTCAGAAATTACTGTTTAGATCCAGGTGGGAAATATTTTTCCCTCTGATCTTCTTGGAGTAGAATGATATTAAAATTATAGGCACAATCACAAC